GCCCTGCACCCTGAGGTCAGCTTAGAGCCACCCCCCCAATCCTGAACGCACCTGCTGGGAGCCAGCCCAAAGCTGGCTGTGAGCTGTTCTACTGGCCAGACGTATGTAAAGCTGGAGGTCAGAACTCTGCCTAATAAAACAGCTCTTGTGTTTTCAGAATGATCTGGAAGAAGTTGGAAAAACAGAAAACCATATCATCGACTGCCTGGTAGCTATGGTTGTCAAACTTTCCGAAGTCACATTCAGACCTCTGTTTTTCAAGGTGAGCTTTGCGTCCGCCCTGTCTGCTTTGTGCTCCTCTCGGTAACGAGATGTGTAGAATAAACTCCTACTTCTCTCTTTTTAGCTGTTTGATTGGGCCAAGACAGAGGACGCCCCAAAGGACAGACTGTTGACGTTTTACAACTTGGCGGATTGCATTGCCGCAAAACTGAAAGGGCTCTTTACTCTGTTCGCCGGCCACTTGGTGAAGCCTTTTGCTGACACCTTGAACCAGGTGAACATCTCCAAAACAGGTTGGTAGCTGACTCCAGCGCGTTGACGCCTTGCTCTGTGTGCCTTGCACAAGCTCGGGAAGTACAGTAAGTCTAAAGGGTGCGTGTTTCGTGCTGTAGTCGGCGGTCAGGCCCTGAAGTGTCTTCTTTCGCGTCATGAAAAGGGTCATGAGGTAACTGACAGGAGGAATCACTTACCCGAGAGCCCACCCACGGTGCCACCCTCATCCTGAGCTTGCTTCTAGATGGAGGAGGAAATGCCCTCTTGATTGTAGCTCTGTCAATAGTGATTTGAATGTAAACGTTGGAGATTCAATTGTGACACTGTTTTCATTTTTACTCTTCCCCCTCTTACAGATGAAGCGTTTTTTGACTCTGAAAATGACCCTGAAAAGTGCTGCTTGCTCTTACAGTTTATCCTGAACTGTTTACATAAAATCTTCCTGTTTGACACCCAGCACTTTCTAAGTAAGGAGAGAGCAGAAGCCCTGATGATGCCTCTGGTGGACCAGGTAACCCAGTCAAACCGTCTTTTAACTTCTCACTTTTTGTGGATTTAACTTGTCTTCACTGGTGGTTTTACTGAGCTCTACTCTTGAATTTTTCCCATGAAAG